CCACCCAGCCCTGGGTCTCTGGTATTTTGACACCTGCTGGGTTTCAGGTTGAACCCAGTTAATTAACCTGTATGTTGTTGTTTATTTAAATAAAAATACCAAATTGCTTACAAAGAAATTAAGCAATCTTTTCAACCTCTGAGCACAGCCTCATGGGACAGCCAAGGACAGCTGTAAAGTTCTTCTTTTTAAGAAGTTCTGGTTCATGTCAGCTGAGAAAGCTCTTAGTAAACAAATGAATAATTGATTGCTCAGCTTTCACATAGCTACTGCGTTTCTGGGCTCACATGACTCATTTGTGAACCATTCCTGTCGTCCTAATGCCATAACATTGGAGAAATGATGATTGTTTCTTGGAGGATTCTTCTGTGGACATAGTTGCCAAGACCAAAGCTGTAATGGTTTGTTATTATGACCTTTGTTATTCCATTAGGCTCAATAGCTTTAAAAAAATGATGTGTGCATACTTTAGGAAAGTTTTTACCCTTTACATTGACCTGACATCATAGTTTATGCTACAAAATGTATTAATGACAAAGTAGTGTTTTCATGTCAGGAGGACAAATTTTAACAACTATAATCTGCCCTTAGTCATCATAAATACAAATGTATTGGTAAAACAGACCTTGTTAATGCAGCCAAGACAAATGCTAGGCCATATTTCAAATGAATTTGAAGCACTAATCTATACACTCCATGATTTTTTTTTCTGTGGCTTCAAATACATTATTGTCAAAGCACTGTTAACATGCTTTGCAGTGGATGTTGTAGAGCAGTAATGGCCCATCAGATGCAAACAATCTAGGCTGCTTTTTTTCTTGATTACTTGAAGATGTGTAAATGTCTTTGAGGATATGGAAGGGCATAGGGAGCATTCAGTTAATATTGTTTTGTTGTTTATTCATACTTGAAAAATCAGCTTTAAAAAAAAAACAACTTGTGAGCCTGACAGTACTTGCAAACTGCCTTGTACAGCAAAGAGTTTAATTTATAACAAATTTGGTACATTATAGTTAACTGAAGGACACCCTATCCAGTACCCACTGCTCACTGCAATGATGATATAAGGTAGGTTTGCTATTTTCAGATGTTCTAGGACTTCGAGGGCAATACAGGGACCACAAGTGCTCTGTTCTGATTTTGTTTCCATAAATTAATTAACTGTATGCAAAAAGGTTGGCTTTGTCCCTTGGCCTTCCACCCTTTCTTGGACATGCAGGTCTCTCAGCAGAATAGGACTCTTGAAGAAACTGCGAAGCAGAAAGGCTCCCTGCTTTCTTCCAGCTCCCTTTCATATTTCCTAGCTGGTGTTTGAAGAGCTGTTATCTGCATAGACCTGCCCTGAGAGCTCCCAAGGAAAGGTGTAAGAAACTCTTGGTCTTTGTTTTTCCAATGCCTTTGTGGAGGAGAGCTGCCTGTCACTGTACTGTGACACCAGCGTGCTACCAACATCGTGGAATCTTCCCTCATGGAGATTTTCTGTCAGGCTTTCATCCAGAGAAAGGAAATAGGAAATAGTGAACTTTCAAAACTCTTCCATAGATTTGCAAGGAAGCAGAATTGAGTCAAATCTGGTTATGTGTGGGTTCAAAGGGAAGTTTCTTCACTGCTTATGTTTACAGGAGAAATGCACCAGAAGGTCTCCCCCCGGTTAACTCCTGTTAACAGTGATACTGGAGAAATGTTTCTTTCACTCAAAATGGCACTGCACTAAGGCAAGTTTGCAAATATCTGTCCTATCCACACTGTAAGCTGAGGAACAGGTATTTACTGCTACAAAAAGTGATGAAGAATTCTTGATGTCGGGGAGCAAGAAGAGACTTAGCACAGCATCTCTCTGTAAGACAGAAACTTCCATTGCATATTATCCCATGCATATGGATAAGTACATATTTAATGATCCTTCTCTCTGGTTTTAGACCTAAATCCTCATGGAAAACAGTATGTGTCTTAGGAATCCTGAATGTAAAATTATCATGCTTCTACTCAGTGCTGTTTAACTGCTGAATTAATCAAGTACAATTGCTTAAGGCCCTAGAGGGAAGGATGTAATAAATCTTGGGAGTATTTGTTCTGGTTTATGGCTGGGAGAAACTGCGTAACATTAAATCAGATGTTATAAACATTTGCAGTGGCACATTTTCCTTACTCGGGGCATTGTGGCATGAGTCTTGAGAAACTAAAGAGGGTATGTCCTGAGGACTGGATGCATTTATTGTAATTTTTTATAGCTGACAGCATTGCTTTGCGCGGGGTGGGAAGGGGCCGGCTGCTGAGGAGCTGCACGCTGTGCATCCCAGGCTTTCGGGTAGAGGGCAGTCGGGTACCGCACACGGGGCTGGGAGCCCAGCTCCGGGCTGAGCCTGCTGCCCTGGCCTGGGGATGGAGAGCATCCCCCAGCCCCAGATAAACTTCCCTGACGTGGAGAAGCAGAGAGATGGATTCATTGTACCCAGACGCTGATACTGCTCTGGAGTAAGACAATTTGGTGCAGTACATGGAGTTTCTCTACACTGGGAGCAGGAGCTGCAGAGACATGCAGCGCAGCCAGTTGAAAAAACTATCCTTGCTGAAATAAGAATCTTCCTGAGTTTAAAATGGAGCTGCTTTAGGCCGTTTCCCCCCCTGCAGGGAAAGTGGGGGACAGCCCCAGTGCACTGAGTGGAGTGTGCTGTTCTTGTGCACAGCATGTCCTGCCCCTGGGACATTGATCACTGGAAGCAAAGCAAGGAGGCAGAGCCTCTTTCTCTAGAAAAGACAAGTGCCTGCCATTCCAGCAAAAGGAGCTTTGTTTCACTTTAGGGGATGATGTCCTAAGGCATTAGTGGGATTTTTTACTTCTAATTTACAAGTACCTGAACAAGCTGGTTGCACCACTCTTGTTCACTGCATGCTTTGCTCTGAACCCTTCAGAGCTGCTTAGAAGCTTTGGAAGGTCTAAATGATGTCAGCTTGGGTAAGGAGCCAAAGCTGGACTCCTCTTGTGCCAGGAAGGGAAGGGTGAGCTGAAGTTTCTGGGTTGAACCCTGAGTAGAGCCAGCCCTGCTCCTTGTTCTGGCCAGGGATGGGTGAGAAGCTGCTGCTTCTGCCTCTGGTGCCCCAGCTCTCTGCAAGAGCTGCTTGCTGATTTCCTGGGTGAAGCAGTCAGAGGGGCTGTGATTATTGCATTGTGCCAGTAGTTTACGGCCCTAGACAGGAGACAAGAGCTGGGCTGTTCCACAGGGAATAGTAAGTCCCTGTGGTACCAGGTCTTCTTCTTGCTCAGGTATTTGAGAGCCTCTGGATGGTGGCAGGATGCAGCTGCTTGAGTTGCTGGAAAGGGTCTCTTGGGAAATGTCTCCAGAAATTGCATGGCAGAATTGGACCTTTGTGTTCAGCTGGTTCAAAGTAAGGCAGAAAACAAAAGGCAATCCAGGGGCAAATGTCTGCTGCTGAGGCTGAGCACATAGTGATCATTCATCCCCTCGGACTGTAAATCTGGTCCCATGCCACTCAGCTTCTGTGGGCTTCTCAGACCTTCCCAGCAGAACCTGCACAGTCACTGGGCAGTGCATCTACAGACAAATCAGCCCTGCTTCAAGAATGCAGCGGAAAGCATAAGGAATGCAGGATGGAACTGTGTCTGCAGAGGGGCCTGAGGGTCTTCTGCTTCACATCTTACAGTGGCTGCCATGTAAAGCACATCCCCAGAGCTGCACAAGGCAGGAGCCACCTGCCACGGGATCCTTGCAGCCACCCCAACCAGCTGGCTGCTTCCCAGCTGGTGTTGGAAGTCTAGTTAGGAAAGTGCTCCCTGCTGAGGGGCTTTTACTCATCCAAGGGATATTTTTGTTGTTTCCCATTGGGCTGTTGAAAGCACAACTCATGAGAATCAGAATGTACTTGGGCAGTGAGGGACCTTCCCCTCTCTAGGAGCAGTGTCTGGTGCAATGGTGAAATGCCTCAGGGTTTGCCTATCACAGCCTCAAATCCAAGTAAATTGCCAGCTGTGATGCTGGCAGTGCTGGGGATGCTGCTGGTGTTGGTACCCGTGAGCACAGTGCCTTCATTTCTCTCCTCCCTGGCTCCTGCGCTTCCCATGCCAGTGCACTACACCTGTGCCTCTGTCCTGACAGACCAACGTCACACTGGCTTTGTTTGCAACAGCTGTAGAGAGCAGCAAGGCCACACCATGAAATGTGACCAATTTTTATCAGAACTATTTCCTGAGAAGCTTTTTTCTTTCTTTTCTTTTTGTTTTTCTCCTTCCGTAACGTAACTTTATGTTTTAAGAGGGGAAGGAAAATAATAAATGGTCTAGAGAAAATAGATTAGTGGGACCATGTCTTACTACAGTGGAACAAAGGGGCATTCAATGAAATTAGAAGGTGGTAAATTCAAATCAGAGGAAGTTATTTTATATGAGGTGGTTCCAGGCGGAGGATCTCATTGCCTCCAGCGATAGCAAAGGCCAACAGTGTGGTGGGTTTTGAAAGGGCTGAAATTTGGATGGGCAGCAGGAATGCTGAAAGTTACCAAAGTCAAGGGAGAGTGCATGGTGATAATTGGGCAGAAATACTAAGCTATCAGGAAAAATATTACCTTTTTTTATCAGAAGCTAGGATCTGCAGTGGAACAGGTTATTTCATAGTGCTTTGTGGGACTCCACAAGCAATCCCAAACATCTCCAGCACAAAACAGTGATGCAGGGAAGCTCGTCCAGGGAGCCTGCAGCAGCACCAGAATATGAGCACAGAATATGCCGCAGGGCCACCCTTCCTCTCACAGGCTCGAGCTTTCAGAGCTTCTCCTCATGTGAGCAGGGCTTGGACACAGACACTCTGGACTTGACTCTAGTGAGAAATTGTGAGTGTCAAGAAACTTGGGTTCTATTCCTCTGCTTCAATGCTGTTGTAAAAATAAATGTCTTTAGAGATAATCATAAAAGTTAATGCAAGTCTTGAATATAGCTTTTTTTCCCCTCCTACCAACCTAATAAAATATATTGCTTTTTCTCCCAGGTATTTTTGTATTAGCAGGCAGTGGCTGCTGCTGGAGGAGGACTGTTCTAGTGCTATAAAATGACTCCAGATGGAGACTCTCTTTGCTGTTCACTGACTTCAGGCTCAAGCAAAGTTGAAATGTAATGCTTGTCCTGATGTCACCATCCTCAGCCAAGAAATATGGGAATGTGTTTGACTCAGGGAGCAGCGACGATCTCCCCATATGATGTCTGATTTATCGGATGTCTGCTAAAACAATGGTTTTGGAATATTTTTTAGATTTTCTTTAAGAAAAGGAAGAAAATGAAGGTGAATGAAATGGGACTGGTGCTCTGGGCTTGACAGGCATAGCACAGAAATCAATCCCTACAGATTTGGCGTTAACAGTCATACTGAATATCTGGATCCAGTGCTCCTGGGAGATCATTTTTCCATCTGCCTGGGAAAGTCACGGCCGCTCTCTCCCTACAGCTGACATGGAGATGCAGCCAAAGGTTCTTCCTGGCAGCCTGAGCCAGCAAGGGCTCTGGGTGCCTACCACCATAAGGACCAAATGCTATGAAAAAAATTAAAAATAGAAGACTTATGTGGTGCTCACTACACAGGGAAGTGAAAAACCTGTTTTTTTCCGGTGTGCAGAGGTACATCACTGCTGCGGTGGCAATGAGGTGAGGGACTGAGCAAATCTAGGGTGAGCTCGGTCCTGCTCAGGACATCTCTGCAGAGCATCTGGTATCCAGACATGCTTCTGCAGCAGCAGGAGGGCATCCAGTCTCTGAAGATTATACTGCTGCTGGAATACACAGCAGCAGTAGTAGAATAAGGATTTTCTGTGCCTTAGTGCTGAAATGCTTCAGGATTTACCTATCAAGCTCTGAAATCCAAGCAAAGAAAATCCTGGCTCTGGTGAAGCACTGAACAGATGCTCCCTCTTATTCTTCCTGGTTTGGAAGAGGCAAAGGAAGTTATCTATTATCTTATCTAAGCTAAACTGCATAGTAAGAATCTTTGCATCATCCGCCCATTTTGTTCTTGCAGAGAACTGTTTCTCACGTATGAGACAATTTGTGCACATTTCGTGTTTTCTTTGGAAATGGCTTGCACTAAGCTAAACTTTTATTCCCTTTCTCTGTAGTCTGCCACTTTTTCTGCTCTTTTCTAAGTGACCCACACTCTAACAGCTTGTCCTGGCTGCTGTGCTATTGTTCCGTGCACATGTGCTATCACCACTATTGCTGCCGGGCTGTTTGTCTTTTGATTGCATGTGGCTGGAAGATTAAGCCTCAATGAGCCCCGTTACTTTCTCATGGGTTTTCCTCTCTTCCAGCAGCTCAGCCTGGCAGGTGACTTTGCCATTGTTGTGCCGTCTGAGGCTACATACGCACGTAGGAAGTTCACAGGGGAGATTTTCTTCGTTTTCCTTTCCTGCCCAGGGATCTGTAAACACTCTGTCAAAGCAAGCGTTCGGCTTTTCTGTTGTCCTCACGGCAGCGCGCTGAGGGGCAGCTGTGCGCCATGGTTTTCCTCAAGAAAACTTGGAGATTTCAAGGAGGGGAGTTGTAATCCATTGTTGGATACCGGTTCCATCGGGTTTCCTTCTCCACGGAAAACAGACGACAGGAAAGCAATTGCAGGAGCAGATGTGACTTGTGACGTAAATGTTACTTCTGGCCCTTCTGTGCCTTTTTTTTTGACTAATCCAGTAGGGTGATTCCAAAGCAAGTCAGCTGGTACGTGAGACACATGAGCCTATGGTGGTCATTTCAAGCTTTTCCTTGGCTCTGTAAGATCCAGGGACAATTTGCGATACCTTACCAACCATTTTTAAAAATAAAATTAGCAAGTAAGAGGAATTTTTGGTATTTCAATATGTGCATCCTGTGTAATTGCCTGCGTGAATCCCGCTGCTCTGTCCACTGACTGATGTCTCTGTTGTGAGCAAGGTATTGAAGTATAGCTTGTAATCCCTTTGTAGTAATAAATTTGTAAGTGTTTTCCAGCTCATGTTTCTTTTCAAGACAAGTTAAATCCATAGACTGAAGTCTGGAAAAAAAGCTGGTTTTAACTATTTAGGTCTTTTAAATCACCTCATTTTTAAGGATATAATGTAATTTCTGCTGTATCAGATGGAGCTGATACAGAGTAAGTGTTTGTAACCTTTCTAGATGCTCCCTTGTCTCAGTGTTTTGTGAGGATAAGCCCAGTGGGCTATCAAGTTTGATCTCCCTTTGGGTCCATGTTGAGGCCAGCAGCCTGGCCAGCCACTGCTCCCTTGGCACAGCACCTTCCCTGAGCAGCCTGGTGTCCAAGTCATCCTAGAGCTGTGAATTGTCCCCCCTCAGCTGCAGCCCAAGAGCTTGTGTCTCCCTGCACCAAAAGCTGGATGTGTCCTTGAACTTCCTTGATGCCAGCACAGCAGTGCCTTGGTGCTGCCCTTGAGCTACATGCCAGCCTTGGAGTCCCAAAGGAAGTGGTAACTACTGGAGCCCCAGGAGTCAGACCCTGAGGTTCCTCATCTCTTTATGCGCAGGATCTTAAAACTCGCCTGGCATTGTCTGCCCAAAACTCACATGTCAGCTGGGAACTGGACAACACAGGCTGCTGCTGACTGGTGGCGGAGCCAGGTACACATCTGGTTCCGTGGGTACACATCTGGGGGCAGAGGACATGTCTGCTGCTCACCTTGCTGCTGCCCAGCACTTCAGGGGCCCCTCTCCCTGCCCACAGCCCCAAGACAGCACAAGTAGTGGTGTATGTTATGCCAGCTCATCAAGTAGGGCACTGTAAAGCTGAATTTAGTCCATACCCTTCACTGGCAAAGGTTGTGCTTTCATGTTCTGGAGGGGTGACTGAGGAAGGGAAGTTGGAAGACACAGCTGGCAGGGGTGGCCACCAGCAGGCTGCAGCTCTGAGTGGCACCTGTTAATGTGAGGGCTGACTCCGTCTCACGTTATAAATACACTCATGTTTCTGGCCAGAGAAAACTTTCTTCCAAAATGTGCCCTGCCTCATTAGCAGTGCCCACCCAGGGACCTCCTTTCAACTTCGCCAAGCTTCCCAGCACCTCACCACAGGGACCAGTCAGGGACACAATAGCTCCAGCCTGTTTATTTCATTTCACTTTTCCTCTCCTCTTGGCCAGCAGCCAGCAGAGATGTTCTTTGCAAAGATAATAGTTTCAACTTAATCATTCACCTCTTATGTGTCTAAAAGGAGTTAAGGAGACTGGAAGTTTCCAAGAAAAATAAATGAACTGAACTCTTTCGAGGGGGCCTCTTTTAGGCTGTTTTATTGATTTAAAAAAAAAAAAAAAAAAGCAAAGCAGCAAGCTGTTTCTGCACATCACCCCTGCCCTATTTATTTTGGGTTTTTTTAATGCATGTTTAAATTTGGAGGGACAGTCATGAATAGAAGGATTATGAAGTATTTCGCTTTGTGAAGGGATTTGTGCTTAGAGAGATGCTTCCAGTGTGATATTCTAGTTGTGTTCATTCTGGGAGTTGTAAAGCTGGATCTGGATCTCAGGGGACTCCTTCCTCAGCCTGCATGTGGATGACAGGGAAAAATTAACTCATTTATTTGGTTTTGGTTGGTTGGTTTTTTAAGGGGGTTGTTATTTAGTTGTGCCCTGAAGCTCTGATGTTTCAGAAAGTTGGAAGACCCAGTCCCTTGATGATGGATCTCTTTGGGTTGCCTCTAGCTAAGCAGCCATTATCACCAGCTCCTTTTGGAAATAAGCCCTTTGTTTAAGCCACAGAGAACACATCTTCCACCTGGCCTGGGCGAGGGACGGTGATTAAAACCCATATCTTTCGCACTGGCATATCCTGTCCATGAAGCTGTTGAAAAAATGCAGGTCCTTGGGAACTGTTGATAAAAATACAAGGTTTTCCTGTCAACAACATTTAACAAAAGCATTTTTTTCTTTTTTTTTTCCTTTTTTTTCTTTTCTTTTTTTTTACTGAAAACCTGAAAAATTTGATGGTTTTGGTAAAGAAGCTCACTTGTAGCTGAGAGTGGATCAAGACACCAGCAGTAAGTCTGAACCTGAGGAATGAACTTCTAAATTAGACAACTTTGGGGGAATCTATTTTCATGTAATCCTCAAACCAAAAACTACACTGTGGTGGTCCCTAAACCATAGGAAGAACCAAGTGCCATCTGGAAAGTCTGGAAGGACCAACAGGCTGCCCTGAGCTCAGGCTGCTTTTCCTTGGCTCTCTGGGATGAGGCTGTGGGTTGTGACCCTGTGATTCTCTCTGTGGTTTTCCTACCTTCAAAGAGGCCTCTTTCCAGAAAAGAGTGAAGTATCTGAATCCATTCCTCCTCTCCCATGGTTCTGGCTCCATCCTCTGAGCAAAGTGACTGCATGGAGCTCTGAGCTCTCTCTTGTGGTGCTGCCTTTTGCTCATGCTTGAGTATGTGCATGTATATGTACTTAGCACCCTCTCCCTGCAGCTATGGAGGGTCTCTGCCTGATCCCACCTTTGGAAAACAAGTTTCCTCGTGGGTACAGATTGTAAGAATCATGTAAGTGTCCATAAAATAGTGGGAAAGGGAATAAAGTTTAAACTGTCATTCATATTTCATAAAAAATTCATAAAAATTCCTTCAGTGCAGACACCCATTTTCCAGACTTTGATGACTAGGGGGAAAATTGTCCTGCCAGGTGGAGTAGGATTTCTAGTTCTTCTTTTCAGCAAATGAAGGGCTGAATTTAGCAAGCTTGGAGTGATATGGAAGTGGAACATCCGTTCTTCTCCTCCCTCTCCTTTTCCCTTTCCCCCTGGGCATGCAGCACCCTCCTCCTTAGAGAACACAGGCATGTTAATTATCATGAGGCTGTGATGAGGCTCTGGGCTGGCCGCGTGTTTCCCTTCCCCCTCACTGAGCACTCCAGTAACCACACATTACCCAAGCCCAGCGCTTTCTGCATGACTCAGATATTTTTTTTAAGAACTAGAATCCAATGGACATTTTCTTCACTGATACCGCTGGGACTAGAGGTCTTTTTTTTCCCACCAACCTTAAAAACATGCTGATATACTGCACATTTCTTTTCCTTTTCAATATTTTGTTTTTATTAAAACAGCACCAAGTCCCACAGCACCAAAGGATGGGGTCTCTTTTGCTCTCTTCTCCCTTCCTCAACAGCTAATAAAAAAATAAAAAAGGTTAATTAGACATAAAACACTGAGGGACACTTGGACCATCCTTGATGGCTGGGCTAAGCTGGGGACACTGGCAGTGCAGGATGGAGACATGGCACAGGTTGCAGCACCCTGGGGTGCAAACGAGAGAAGGGGAAACAGCTGCCATCCTGACAGTGGATCATGCTGGAAAAATCCTGCACTTTTCTTAGACCTGAGGCATCCAGCTGAGGCTGGGCATGCATCAACCACTGCCAGGTGAAGATGCAGAAAATGCCTTTGTGAAGGCAAAGGTAGTGACCTACGGTTCCTCTGTCACCCAAGGTCTGGGTCCCAAATACAAACAAAAGTGCTGGGTGCATGATTAGGTTGAACAATAAGGCAGTGAGCTCACACTCAAAGCTCTCTGATGAAAGAGGTTTTGGAAGGGCTGGCACCAGCTTTGGTTGCAACATAACGTGGCACACGTGATCTGCATGCTCTCCCATGCTGGAATTGTAGATTTGTGGTGGGTGTCTGGGTGGATCCGTGCTCTTGCAGGCTCGGTGCAGGGAAGGCCCAGCACTGAACTTCCCTGGGAAGCGCAAGCAACATGTGGAGCCAATGAGTGATTCCTCATGTGAATCCTAAGGAGTTCAAATGGACAGGTTTGGGGCCACAGTTCCCATCTGACTTTGCCTGCCTGATGTGATTATTCAAGCCTGAATTCCTTCAATTGACAGCCATGCTATTTCCAGTCTCTTAGTCAGCATATACCCCTCTGCTCCCAGTCTGATGAGACCTGGATTTTCCCACACTCCTCCTTAAATGGAAACACATTGTTCATCTTCATTTTATTTATTTGTTTGGTACAAAAAAACAAGATACTGCTATAACTTTGAAGTGCTGGCTTCTACAATGGTTGGTTCCTTTTTGGAGCAATGGGTTTTCCTAAAAGCCACTCTCAGCAAGATCCTTATCAAACTTTCCTTAGCGGGAGACAATGAACATTTCACAGCATGAAGAGGAAAAAAAATAAAAAGGTTAGTGAGAAGACAAATGTGCTAAGTGAAGAGATAGCCAGGGTGAAGATGAGATCCCCCAGCCTTGTAAACACAGATTATTTTCTGCCTAACCTACAGTTTCCGGATATTTCACTCATTGAGTCAGTTCCAGAGTAAATTGAGGGGTGAAAATGGGTCAATGTCTGGACACTTCCATTTGAAACGCATAAACTTCACACTCATGTGCCTGAATACCAAGGACCTCACTGCCAGTAGTTGCCAGGGGTGGCAATTGTGAAGGGATCTTCAGGGGAGGGGAGAGGTGTCTCTGCAAACCACCAGGGGTAACTTTCCAAAACAGGTCACACTGGGACCAGTTTGTTCCCTGCTGGGCTGCAAAACCAGTGGCTGACCTGCGTGGAGGCACTTGGAGCTGTAGGGGGACAAACCTCCTGCTGGAGCCCAGCTGCCAAGCCTTGTGGAGAAGGGGCAACATATCCCACAGCCTGCCCAAAACCTCTCCTGTGTCAGATCAATGCCAAGGGATGCTCTGGGCAGGGACAACATGGGGCCACCTTCACACCTCTCCTAAAAATGCCAGTGCCACTGGACAGCTGGTGTGGGAGATGAGCAAGCACAGAAATGGATCATCCTAGCCCAGCATCTGCCAAATCTGAACAGCATCTGCTCCACGAGAGCTTCCATGGGGTCAGGTTGCCAGTGGCCAATGCCCTGGGTCAAGGCAGGGCCCTAGGAGTTGGTTCTGCTGGGGACAATCACTGTTGTGCTCTGGCTGAGTCTGAGCAGCTCCATGCAGG